ATAAATTGACCGCATTCGTGTATAGCGGCAATAATAAAATAGAATGTACACGGAGTCTTTCGATAATAGGATACAGTCGTTAAAATGAACACCTGCATGACACTACCAATAAGCCCCATAATCACGAAAAACAAACCAACATAAAGCATAATGAGTCGATTAATAACAGAGCTGGGCAAAATACTCGAAGTACTCGTACTCGAGTACGATTTTGCTCGTACTCGTACTCGTACTCGTACTCGGAGGGTCAGTACTCGTACTCGTACTCGTACTCGGGGGGTCAGTACTCGTACTCGTACTCGTACTCGAGGGGTTTGGTACTCGTGCTTGGAATTTTTTTAAATTTTAGTGAACGCATTCTTTATAAAAAAAAAGAAAGAATATCTAATTTGAGTTCTTCAAGAAAGAGTATCTAATTTGGTTTCGTCAAGAAAGAAGAACACACCTGATATTTTCTTTGCGGACGGCAAGTTGCGGTTGACGCAAATATGCTGATAAGTATTTGTACGATATAAAATCGTATGGTCGTCACCATATTTCAGTCTTCCTATCCTCTTTTCTTAATTATTTTATTTACTGTCCAATAATAGCGCTATTCATACGATTGGTTCTTATACGTAATACGAAAGCTTTGTTTTCTTTCTTGATTTTAGAATGAATAAATAAATTTAATTGTTATAAACATCTTTATTGGTTTTAATACTACGTCTCTTGCTCTTGGAACAAATTTTAATTAATTGTTGGTGCTATTGAAGTATTATTTTCAATAACTTTCTAGTTGCAATTATGCTATTATTTTTATTTTGATCTAGTGTCTACGAAATTGTTGTCTTTGCCATGATCGTGTTGTGAATAACTTCGTATTGTTTTTGATCCTGTTATTTTATTATTATTGTCAACAACATTTTAGTTGTTATTGTTATTATTTTTGTATTATTCTTAATTTATGAATTGTTCATTACTGATCTTTTGTTATTGATTTATGATGGCTACAAACTCAGCTGTATCTGAGAGCAATGTTGATTCTAATATTATTATTATTCATGATGATGCTCAATATCCATCGGTAATTAAAGAGTTTTTTTTAAATTTATGCGTCAATACGGAAAAAAATCGGTGGTCATCCAAGTGTAAAATTTGTTCGTCGTCTATTACTGATACGTATAAAACAACTTCAAATTTTTTAAAGCATTTGAAGAACAAACACCAATCTTTGTTTGAAGAATGGAAAAACAATCATGATCCATCCATTAAAGATACAAATCAACCGAAAATAAATAGTGTCTTTAGTTCTGGTGGTGAAAAATGTAAGTATGCTCGTATTTTAAAAGGCATTCTGCTTTCAGAAGGATTAGGAGAGAAGAATAAAGACGAAAGCACAAATCTCATGTTTATGCTAATGAAATATTCTATCATAGCTGAACTAAATTTTGGTGTGGGAAATGCCACATGTACATATGCATAGTATTTCGCTTTTGTTTAATGAATACAGTATTTTATCAATTTAGATTCGACAAATAACAAACGACAAAAACAACTCACCAACAGTATTATTCAAAATCTTATAATAAATATGGGTCTTCCATTATCAATTGTTGATCATATATCATTCAATGATTTCATGAATGATGTAGATTCCAAATATAAGCCTATTCATAGGCGTGATCTTACACGTTCGTTTTTACCTGCTTTACACAAAAAATGTACATCAAAATTACAAGAAATATGTGCTGAAGCAAAGCATGTCAGTCTTACACTTGATATTTGGTGTGATCGTCGCATGCGGTCTTATTTTGGTGTTACTCTACATACTATTATTGATGATAAATATAAAACATTTTTACTCTCATTTGAACGACTTGAAGGAAAACATACATCTGATAAACTTGCAGCAGAATTCGATCGAATAATTCAGCTTTACAAGTTAAAAGACAAAATCGTCCGATTAATAACTGATAATGCAAGCAACAATCTTGCTGCTTTTGATAACATTATTTTACCTGGATTTGATGATTATTTTGATGGAATAATAGATGATTCATCTGAATCTGAATCTGAATCTGAATCTAATGATAAAGAAACTGATGATTATACACCTGCAGTTGGTGAAGAAAAATAATTACAAACACATGAAGCAGATGATTCAATTTATCAAACTACATTAGATTCAGCAACTGAAGAAGAATTTGTACGTTTGCCATGTTTTTGTCATTGTCTTCAGTTAGTGGTCAATGATGGAATAAAAGCTAGTGCTGCTGCAGTATCTTCTCTTCAAAAAGTAGCAAGATTAGCTAAACTTGCTCATTCTAGTACAGTATTTTCTGAACGATTAGAAAAATTTAATTATACTATTCCAAGAGCAAATCGTACAAGATGGAATAGCCAATTTCAAACAGTAAAAAATGTGGTTGATATTCCATCGTCAATACTTAATTCAATTTTAAGTGATTTAAAGAGGAATGATCTTATTCTTAATAGTAAAGACAGAAAAGTTTTAGAAGAATTTGTATCTTTGTTTGAGTTATTTAATGAAGCTACTGTGTTAACTCAAGGTGAATCTTATGCAACTATTTGTCTTGTTGCACCTACTGTTCTTGGTATACTTTTTGATCTTGAACGTGAACTTTGTTCTTCCACTTTAACTCTTGTTTCTTTATGTGAAGCCTTAATTGCATCAATTAAAGCTCGATTTAGTGGACTTCTTCGTCATTTTGAAATCGATGTACCTTTCAACACATATTGTATGTCAGAACGTTTTTCTGATGTGATTTTTCTTATTTCTCCACTTCTTGATGCGCGTTTCAAATTGTTGTGGCTCGATAGTCTTCATACTCTTGTAAAACTGCGCGTTGTTGAAAAGATTCGTGATGCTTATGTTCGTTATTATTCTAAACTAAATTTTTCTGTGTTGCAGAATACTGGAGCCGATGTGCTGAACACAACTGAACATAATATTGATGTTATGACAAAAAGCACGGATTCACTTACTAAACGAAAATGTCTTTTTCCATATTTGAAGAAAAATAAAAAAGTTTCGAATCAAGATAAATCAAGGATTTTGATTGAACTTGATGCCTATTTATGTGAAGAAAGTCGTGAACAAAATTTAACTTTTATCAAAAAACATTTGTATCCTTGTTTATATCAACTTAGTTTAAAATACTTGTCAGTGCCAGCGACATCGGCTCCCATTGAACGAGTATTTTCTCAAAGCGGTTTTCTTATGCGTCCAAATCGGGCATCATTAACTGCAAAAAATGTTTGTTTACTCACTTTTCTTAAATGTAATAAGTTTTTGTTATGATTTAATTGCTTTGAACACGATAATAAAATATAATACTAGTAATGTTTTGATATTTTGCTCTTATAATATTTTATTTTGACATGTATATATAGTACGTTGTAAAACATTAAGTCTATTTTTCGTAGAAACTAATTTGAAAAATTCTAGTCTCACTGATACCATGGTATGGATACTCGTACTCGGAGTACTCGTACTCGAGTACGATTTTGCTCGTACTCGTACTGGTACTCGTACTCTGGGGGTTCAGTACTCGTACTCGTACTCGTACTCGGGGCTTCAGTACTCGTACTCGTACTCGTACTCGAGAAAGTCTGTACTTGCCCAGCTCTGGGTGTTGGCCGGTATGATGTTCTCAGCACCCACACCCACCGACACGCAGCGCCCACATCCGTACCCAGGCTATTGATTTTGTGAGTAGATATCTGATTGCAAACATATGTAAGAGTTTATTGAAAAAGATATTCAAGCGGAAGCCAAGTAACAAAAACCAGAGATAATCCATGCATTGTTAGTGACTGATTCAATGGAAATAAGGATATCGAGCATAAACAATGTCCATGTAAAACATTTTGTAAAAGAATAGACTGTCCGATGCGATAATCATCCTATATAATCGATAAATCGATCTAATTTGTCGAGTAAAGAATCGTTTATCCAACCCTGGTGCAAATTTGCACATAGAACTATGAGTAACTCGGCTGGATGCTTTAAGTCTTTTCACGGTGGCATTACTACACGCTTGCAGAGTACTTGGCGATTCGTGAAAGAAAATGAGCGTTATATTGTAGTTTAATTTCTTGGGATACAGACCATCATCAATTAAGACTTTTAACATAAGGTAAGGGCAAAAAGTTCGCGACATTTTCTTATCGATATTAATAGAAAAATTTCTAAGAACTGTTTTTCATATAATATACCAAAAGATGCAGCGTGAAAAGCTCTACAATTTGCACAAGACCGCTTTTTTTACAGTTGCACTTTTTGCTTTCAAAATCATCAAAACTTCAGGCGATCAAATTTCGACCGTGTGAAAACGATATTTTTTTCGGCACAAGATGGATTTATTTCATCTTTTGATCACTTCATATCTTTTATTTAAAAGAAAACAAAATACATCACAAGATGCAGCGTGACAAGCTCTATAATTTACACATGACCACTTTTTTACAGCTATACCTTTCGTTTTCAAAATTGACAAAAATTCTGAGCCACCAGATTTCGATGCTGCGAAAAAGTCTTTGTTCAATACACGGTCAATGCGTTTTTTCCTCTTTACCACCTGAAATCCTTTATTCAAAAAAAAAAACAAAATACACCAAAAGATGCGGCGTAAAAAGCTCTACAATCCACGAAGGAGAGCTCATTTTAATTGTCTACTTTTTGTATACAAAAAAAAAAAAAAAATTCTGTGCGATTAATTTTCGATGCTACAAAAAGATAACATGAAAAGACATTTCTTTTTTCTTATTTCATCAGTTTATCTCCTAATATGTTTTCGTAAAAAAAACAAAATATACCACAAGATGCAGCGTGGAAAGCTCCACAATATATACAGGTGATGAAAAGATGAAATAAGAAAAAAGATAATTGCTCGTTCGTGTTA